TTAGCTAGGTATCCTAGCAATAACTGATTCATGTATGTGTAATTTCTTTATATATATAAACTTTAGCAACCAGTGAAACTGAACCTATTAGTTCTATATTTTCACTGCCTTGTGTCTACCTGGTAGTAAGTGTTCACTTAAATCCCAGAAGATTCAATAAAAGTGGTAATGTGGATTTTTAAGTAGTCATCAAGGAATCTACATGATAGTAATAATGGATACTATTCATTGAAAGTTTAAAAAGTGATTAGCATCATGTTCAGAGACTCTGAAAAATAATATACATTAACTCATATAATTTTTACTATAACGATAAGAGGAAGGTATATTCGCATTAAGTTCAGAAAACCAAAGCATGAAGAGATTAAGTAACTTGCCCATGTTTGGTAAGTGGTGGAATTGGACTACTGCATAACCACTAAAAATCATGTTTTAGAGATTTTTAATGACAGGGGAAAATGCTCAGCAATTAATTGAAAAATAGAACACAAAACTTACATGCATATTTGTGTCTCATACATAGACACATATGCAATGACAATTTACAGAATATATATCTAGGTGGTCACAAAACCTAAAAGGTAAGATACTCAACTGTTAACTATTCCATGGGGTAATGGGTGATTTGTCTTCTCTTTTAGTATTTTTTTTTTTTTGAATGCCAAATTTATTAGACCGAGCATATATCATTTTGAGAATCAGAAAAGAAGCAGTAACAAATGTTTTTAGAAATTGTTCCAGAAGCTATAGCAAATTTAAACAAACCAATTGCCATAAAATAGGAAAAATCAGAGTTGTCCTCTTAAACAACAACTCAGACTTCACTGGCTTGCAGAAAGTTTGTACTAATACTTTAAGAATCAGCTAATTCCAGTCCTATTTAAAATGCTCTTGAGCTGGGCTATCCAATAGAACTTTCCATGATGATGGGAGTGGCTACCAAATGGCAGTACATATAGAGGACATTCGAAATGTAGGTAGTGTAACTGAGAAACAGAATTTTAAATTTTATTTTATTACAACTAATTTAATTTTGAATGGTTACACATGGCTAGTGGCTATCGTGTTGGACATTGCAGACTACAAAAAATGGAGGACTATAAAAATGGAGGAAAATTTGCAAATTCCTTAAAAAAGCCAATATAACTGTTACCTGAACATGATAAAAATGTAAACTATGGATGAATTTCACATATGAATATCAGGGTAAAAAAAATACAAATACAATGTAGCATGTGTTAGAAGAATAGTATGTATGGAAGATTTAGGATGGTCTAATATTGAGAAATTCATTAATATAATACACTCCTATTAATAGATCAAGAGAAAAAACTCAGACCACAGCTGTTGAAAAGGCATTTGTTAAAATTAAACCTCCATTCCTGATTAAAAACTCTGAATGAAATAAGACTAACCCTCATTTACATAACACAAGAAAATAATGTATCTCGACCTAGAAAACTATATGGGAAAATAATAAAATGGAAAAATGATTTAAAAAATCCCATTAAACTCAGGATGTTCCCATTAAATGCTTAATGAAGAGGAATATATATATATATAGGTTTAAAATTATATTTAAACCTATATATATATATAGGTTGATATAGGTTAAATTATATTTAAACCTATATATATATATATAGGTTTAAAATTTTGAAAGAAGTAAATTATCACTAACTGTGCATATTATTGATGTAATCCTGATAAACTAATATAAAAACAATCACAAATACTTCAATGTAGTGGTTAAGAGCATAGACTCTAAAGCCCTGCTGTTGGTTCAATCACTGGCTCTATTAGTAACTAGCTGTGTAACACTGAGCAACCTATTTAATTCTTTTGTTTCCTCTGTAAAATGGGGACAATAAAATCCTACCAAAGGGTTGTTAAGACTATTAAGTATTCAAATATATACAGAACTCTTAGAACATGCCTGCATATAATACTAGTTAGTATTACCATTAGTATTAAGGTAATACTAAGGCACATTATAATCATTACAAAATTATTACAAATTATAAAATATATAAACTATAAAATGTAAATTATAATAATGTACAAAATAAAAATACAAAAATCAAAATCCTTCCTATATGAAAAAGAATATTCCATTTATAATAGCAACACAATTATTAAATACTTAGGAATAAACACAAAAAATGTGCATGATTAAATAAGAATATTTAAAAATGTTAGTAGGGGACAAAAAGAATTGTTGAATAAAGGGCAAACATATACTAAGTAAAATTCAACAACATAAGGTTATAAATTATTCTATAAACTTAAAAAACAGATAAAAGTGATTCTAAATTTATATAAAAATAGATGTAAAAAGTAAAGGTAGAGCAATAAAGGAAGATTAGTAGGAACAGATATGAGACAATATTATAGTGCCAAAGTACTCAAAATAATATGTACTGGAGTATGAATAGATTATGGTACAGTTTCAAGGGCAGAGAAATAGAACCAAATACATATGGATATTTATTTATTTATTTTCTTAAAGAGTTTTACTTATTTGAGAGAGCAAGTGAGAGAGAGATTGAGAGAATGAATGGGGGGAGGGGCAGAGGGAGAATCTGACTTCCTGCAGAGCAGGGAGCCCGACATGGGACTCAATCCCAGGATCCTGGGATCATGACCTGAGCTGAAGGCAGATGCTTAACGACTGAGCCACCCAAGCACCCTACATATGGGTATTTAGTATATGCCGAATGGGGATACTGCATATGGGGGGATGATTAATTATTGAATAAATACCAGTTATAAAACCTGGTAGGTAGGCCATCTCAAATAAAATAATGTTGGCTCTCTATTTGATTTTTTACACTGAGATAAATTCTCTGTAGATTGATGACTTAATCATAAAAGTGAAATAAAAAGTAGTGGATGGAAATATGAGAGAATGTTTTTCTATAGTCTTGGCCTGTAGACAATCTTATTATACAAAACTCAAGAGCTATATAAAAAGATAAATTCAGTTATGTAAAACCCCCAAATCTCTGCATGGCAAAAAGCACCACAGATAAATCAAAGGCAATGACAAATTGGGAAGATAAATTAAATCTTATGTCGGTTAACTCCTTTGACTAATAGCCTTCTCTTCAATTTCTTTCACTTAACATATCAGTAAGAAAATGACCAACAACTCAACTGAAAAGTGGTCAAATAATATAAGCAGGTATCCGAGAAAAAAATTCATTTTTTCTATTTTACTTGAAAAGATGTCCAACATTATTTGTGCTAAGAAAAATATGGTACCACTTTTAACATCAAATTGCATGCAACAAAAAGCTCTAACATTCTTTTGCTAAGGATGTGGGAAAACAGTATTATTAGTAATTACTGTCCTTATACTGTATAAGTAGTATCATACTAATGTTATTTACATTAGTATAAATAGTATACCGTTAGTTAATGTAAAAATTAATTCAACCTTTTTGGCAGACTTCGGGCAGTATCTATTATAGTTTAATATATACATTATGTATATGTATATATTAAATATATTCAATAATTAAATTAATAAATTTATAAATATTATACTTATATTTTATATTTATATTTATAAATACATATTATATTCATATTTACACGGAAAACATAAATATATAAAAATAAATTTAATAATTAATATATATTAATTTGCTATATATTTACATATATATTTAATATATACATATATACTTTATATGTATATATTAAATATATATATTTAATATATACACACACACACACCATTGCTCTACCTATTAAACTTCCATAATTTACCTTAGAGGTATACTCACAAATGTGCTCAGTATCACATGTACATTTTTTTGTTTTTTTTTGTAAGAGAAAACATGTTGGTAAGAGAAACTGGTTTAATAAATGTGAAATATGGAGGAAATGAAATGTTATACAGTCATTAAAAATGAGAAGGCAGGTTAGATTGAGTGTGGAGATGAATAATTCCAAGAAGTGAGAAATAAGGGTACAGAGTTAAGAGTGCTATCATTTGTTTAAAAATGTGTGTTTGTAAGCACATAAAATACCCCTGGAAGAGAAGATATTCCAGGAAGATGGCTGGGTAACTGAGAGACAGACACAGGAAGGCAATTACTTTAACTGCACACCATTTTATACCTTTTTTTTTTTTTAAAGATTTTATTTATTTATTTGAGAGAGAGAATGAGCTAGAGAGAGCATGGGGGGGGAGGGTCAGAGGGAGAAGCAGACTCCCCGCTGAGCAGGGAGCCCGACGCGGGACTCGATCCCAGGACCCCAGGATCATGACCTGAGCCAAAGGCAATCGTCCAACCAACTGAGCCACCCAGGCGCCCCATTTTATACCTTTTGCATTTTATACCATATGTATATATTATCTGTCCCCAAATTAATTGCTTTTTAAAACAGCTTTTATTTCTTATTTCCTTTTCTTCTTCCATTCTCACCAGAAAATCCTGGCTCTTCCCACACAATGTTGCCACATTAGCAGTCTCAGCTCACTCCTCCTTCTCCCTTTATTACTTGCCTAAATAAATAACTGTCCACAAAATGAGCAATAGGAATGTGGGACAAAGCACCTCATGTCGCAGAACAATACTAGTAAAACATCAAAATGTGTATTTGGAAAAGAGCTGAACAACTATATGGCAAATGGTAAAAATGTTTATCTTGGGTGGGAGGTTAACAGGTAATTTTGGTTTTATCTTGGTATTTTCTGTGGTTTCCAAAGCTTATATATATATTACTTTTTTTTTTAAGATTTTATTTATTTATTTGACAGAGCGAGAGACTGAGCAAGAGAGCACAAGCTCTCTTGGGGGGTGGGCAGAGGGAGAGGGAGAAGCAGGCTCCCCGCTGAGCAGGGAGCCCAACAAGGGGCTCAATCCCAGGACCCCAGGATCATGTCCTGAGCCAAAGGCAGACGCTTAACTAACTGAGCCACAAGGCACCCCAATATGTATTCCTTTTATAATAATTTTTAATTTTTAAAAAAACTGTTTGATACTCACCTGGTTCCTGTCCCTGGCATTTGCATATCGAAACCTCTGGATATAATAAAAGACCAGCCATGCGAGGGATATGATCATCAGGACGATGAAAGAGATGGAGACAAACACAACCGAAGTGCGGCTCACATATTTCTGCAAGTTCCGGGTTCCAATGGTGATGTACATGGTCACCGTGATGTTCCTTTCCAGCAGGCTTACTATCTCCTTTCCTTTTGGCTCAGGAATCATTATTGCCACAATGTCTTCTACACCTGTTGTGACGGGGCAAGGAGGGGGTAACAAGGATAAGGGGAGAAGAGAGAGAGGCAGAAAGTCATAGTGAAATGTCTAGACAGAGTGAGGCATAGCCAAATAATGACCCTACTTTCGACAGTTCTATGCCAGACCTAATAGCCAGCTCTAATTCTAAGATAGAACAGCCAGAAACGGAGTCAAATGCTCAACCTCCTTCAGCTACCTTGTAAATGAGAAAAGAACCCAAATTGAATTCATGACCCTTCCCACCTAGCACAGTTTACATTTCTCTGGGGGCACTTCACAGACCCCCTAGGAGGGGAGGTGGCACCTTCTACCCCGTGGGAGAAGCATAAGATGCCCAATTCTTTTTTTTTTTTTTTTTAAAGATTTTATTTTTTAGAGAGCGAGCGAGAGGGAAACAGCATGAGAGGGGAGAGGGTCAGAGGGAGAAGCAGGCTCCCCGCTGAGCTGGGAGCCCGATGTGGGACTCGATCCCAGGACCCTGGGATCATGACCTGAGCCGAAGGCAGACGCTTAACCATCTGAGCCACCCAGGCGCCCAAGATGCCCAATTCTGTGCCACCCATCTGCGAACCTTCCTTCCCCCTCACGACACTAGGAATCCTTAAATACAGATCTCTATCATTTCTAAGGCAATTTTCTCCTACATTGAGTTCCCAAAGTAACCCCAAATGGGTTTCTTGACAAGCTCTAATTATTTGTAAACATTAATATCATAGGCCTCAGGACTATTTCCTGCTTATTTTATCTAGTTCAGTGCAAACAGCTTGGGTCTCCTCATACTCAGCAAAGAGAGAAGATGGAGACTGAACAATTTCAAAATGGTTTTACTTCAACTTTCAAATATTCCTACCCCCCATGCCCATTACTGGACAGTGTGCAGCCAGAGTAGAAAGAATTGTCCCTATTCTTTATGACACCAGGGGAGGCACAGTCTCTACAGGGAGTCTTTAGTAAGGATATGATACCAGCTCCAAAATGACCAACTCAATATGCCACCGTGGCTGGTACTTGAACTAGAATACAGATTTCAGTTTCACCAGGGTCGGTCCTCTGGTATCACCCTAATTCATGCCCACAAAGCTCTTCGTGAGCCCTACTTCCATATGGAAATAGCCCATCACCTGGGGTCACTGCAAATTAAAGGGAGCAAATTTGCAATTAGGATGTTGCAGATCCAGGGCAAAATTAAACACGGCTATAGTTGCTTCAAACTGGCCTCATTCAGGTGCTGAGGTCAGTCAGGGGGACGGAACTACCAGATTACATTTGCTCAGAGAGGTGCAAGCTCTCAGAGGCTACTTAGGGCTTTCACTTGACCTTGATCTCTATGCAAGTTTTCAATCCTAAATTCCTTGCTAGTATTTCACTGAATAAATACTTTAAAAGCTAACTAACTACAGGGGCGCCTGGGTGGCTCAGTCGGTTAAGCGACTGCCTTCGGCTCAGGTCATGATCCTGGAGTCCCGGGATCAAGTCCCGCATCGGGCTCCCTGCTCGGCAGGGAGTCTGCTTCTCCCTCTGACCCTCCCCCCTCTCATGTGCTCTCTCTCTCATTCTCTCTGTCTCAAATAAATAAATAAAATCTTAAAAAAAATAAAAATAAAAATAAAAATAAGAACATGGGTGGAACGAAGGTTTTTAAAAAAAATAAAAAATAAAAAAATAAAAATCAAAGTTAAAAAAAATCAATTAGCAGTGCTAAAAAACAAAATTGAATCAAGTTAATCTTGAAGATCTAATTGGCGTTATCAAATGATTAATGAATTGGGCAGCATCCCATCTATCAAGTAGAGGACAGCTCCTGAGTTGTACAAAATAGAAGGTTTTAGGGCGCCTGGGTGGCTCAGGTGGTTAAGCGACTGCCTTCAGCTCAGGTCATGATCCTGGAGTCTCCGGATCGAGTCCCGCATCGGGCTCCCTGCTCAGCGGGGGGTCTGCTTCTCCCTCTGCCCTCTTCCCTCTCCCCTCTTCCCTCTCGTGCTCTCTGTCTCTCATTCTCTCTCTCTCAAATAAATAAATAAAATCTTAAAAAAAATAAAAAATAAATAAAAGCTAACTACATACCAAGGTATATGTGTGCGCTACATCAGTTACATATTTTAAAAAATTCCTGAAACTTTTGTATTGGCCCAATTGTAAAATCACAAAGCCATAGAGTATTTAGATTTGGCTCTTATTTCTGGGAATTACTGAAACTGATGGCTTGAATTTCGATTTTGCAGAATTTACTGACAATTCTGATGCTCCTTCTCTTTTCATGTTTACTTTGGCTAATGGCTGCTTGTAGTCTGAGGGTTTTTTGAGGGATTAAGGCTACTGACAGGTTTTGTCTCTACAGAAATACGATCTCTGTGTATACTAGACTAATTTGGCCTGGGGAGGCTCATCCCAGGGCTGTAGCTATTTTATAGGTCTTTAAGTAGTGGTAGAATAATAATTTTTCATTTAATTTACTTCCTTATTTATATTTTTAAAGCATATCTATTCAGGACTCTAGAATTAGATTTTTGAGGATGGGATCTTGGTATTATTTATGAGACTCTGTATGTTCAGACTTGCACACATTCTACACTTTTCATTTCTAGTTCAGTCCTTTTTATTATTTATTTTTATTGAAGTACGGTGGACATCCGGTGCTGTATTAGTTTCAGATGTATAACATAGTGATCCGACCATTCAATTCTATACATGATGCTATGACCACCATGATAGGTTTTTACAATTTTTAGTAGTCAAATTTTACTAATATATTCCTTTATGGCTTCCGGTTTTGATTCTCTGCTTAGAAAGCTCTTCTCCACTCAAGATGATAGAAAGACTCATCGAAAATTGCTTCTCAAAACACGGTTTTATGTTTTACATTAAATCTTAACCCGAATGTGATTTAGTAACAGAACAATATTTATTGAGCTCTTACAATGTGATGCGCAGAGAGGAGACAAACAGATGCAGTTTATTTTCCCCCTAAACTCTCAGATGTGTTTGGATCTACTTTTGGACTTTGTTTTACAGTAAGGTTGACCTTTCTTCTGCTGAACCCGTTGCAGGCTGCTTAAGTTGTACAGCTTTTAACATCTTTATTCTCTGGCGGCCTAACTCTGTCTTCGCTAATTCTCCTCCATACAATTTTCCTTCTCTCTGCTTATCCATAAAAGACCATAGAGCCTAACAGTGAAGAGTCAAACCCCAGCTCAGCATTTTAAAAACAGGCAACCTTTAAAAATTCAATTTCATTTACAACAGCATCCAAAACCACGAAACATGTAGGGGTACATTTATTGAAGCACTTGTAGGATCTGTACACTGAACGAAACAAGACCTAAATAAAAATAGAGATACAGGGACCCCTGGGTGGCTCAGTCAGTTAAGTGTCTGCCTTCGGCTCAGGTCATGATCCCAGGGTCCTGGGATCGAGTCCCGCATCGGGCTCCCTGCTCAGCAGGGAGTCTGCTTCTCCCTCTGCCCCTCATCCTGCTCTCGTGCTCTAACTCTCTGTCTCTCTCTCAAACAAATAAATAAAATTTAAAAAATAAAAAATAGAGATTAAAAAAAACAAAAAAAAACAGGCAACCAGGGGCACCTGAGTGGCTCATTGGGTTAAGCGTCTGACTTGGGCTTAGGTCATGAACTCAGGGTCCTGGGATCAAGCCCCATGTCCAGTGCTGCACTCAGTGGGGAGTCTGCTTGTCCCTCTGCCCATCCTCCTGCTCATGCTCTCCCTCTCTCAAATAAATAAATAAATAAATAAAATCTTTATTTTTTAAATTTAAATTCAATTAGCCACCATGTTGTACATCATTAATTTTTGATGTAGTGTTCAATGATTCATTAATTGCATATAACAAAAAAATAAATAAAAATAGGCAATCAAATTTTGGATATCCACGAAGTTTTAAATCACTCATCATCCATTTTTAGGGACCTGAGAAAACACTTTCTGTTCCTGTAGGGTAAAGTATAATTAACTATTTTAAAGCATTTAAACTTAAGTTCTTAGTTAACACTGCCCATGTTGTTCATACTACTGGTGTACCTTCACGATAGAAAACAGCCACTTGGAAGGAGAAACAGTGAAAGTGGCAGCTGAGCAGTTCTATTCATCTAGACCTTAAATGTATTCATCTTTCTAGGGCTGATGATGGTTAAAAAAAAAAAAAAAAGATAGGATTCTTGGATATTTCTCCATGTGCTTTAGGTTATGGATTACCGTGAGTGGTAAAAAGGGTATGCATTTATCCCAACAGAAATAGTCATTAAGAATTTAGGTACTTAGGTTATGCAAAACCAGTACAGTGAAGTGGATCTGGATGAATTATCTGATTAGTCTTGATTATCAATGCACATAATCCAGGGCAAAAGCTACCACAGGGTCTCATATGTTCAAACGAGGCATATGCACCAAGGTGAGTAATCAGATAACTCCCTGATCTTTGCTTCATTTTGAAATGTGCATCCATAGTATCAGGCTTCTTCTCTCCAGGTAAATGGTAGTGAATTGCTTCTGCGGGTGTGTGGGAGGGAGGGAGAGAGAGAAGCAGGGGTGAGGAGGGGGAGAACGCACTGAAAGCCTGAGTGATCTCAAAGTTACACGCTGCCCTGTGTAACAGGGAGGCTCTGAGACTCAGGGGAAGAGAAGTTAGCAGGTAGCCAATTTTGTGGGGGTAAAATCTATAGAGGCTCTGCCTGCTATTTGGGAAATTCTGTGTTTACCGTGATTCCTAGTCGCTCTAATATTGAGTGCCTCTCTTGCAAAATTATGTCAGCCGACCATTTATTTTCCTCCCAAAGGCACTTTATACTTCTGAGTGATAGCTATTATATAATTATGGTGTATTCTGGAAAAGCTCTTCGGCCGCGCGAGACAATGTGTGCCCAGCGCACGTAGGACCTAGCGGCCAAGCAGCAGGAACACTCTGTATTTTTAGCACTCCCTTTCCCAGGAGAGAGCTCAATTGCCATTATCTAATTTGGTATATGCAGATAGTAAAGG